AGAATGTCATTAGCTTTTAAATGCGAGCTATCCCTGGAATTTAGTGTCTAAGAGAAGTTAAATAAATAATGTGCCTTGTTTACACAATTCTGATTAATAAAGAAAAACATGCTTATTATAGAGAATTTAGAAAAAAGGTGTCTAAGTTTAGAGGAAAACTAAATCATTTGCAAATTCACCACATTTCAACATTTTATATCGGCATGGCTTGCATACACATTCCCATGCCTACACATACATAACACACATAAAAATGTGATTTGAATGTGTCAAGTTATGTGTGCTTTGTCACTTATTTCATCACGAGCATGTTCCTATGTCATTAAAACAGTTTTTGAAAACGACTTTTGATGCCTACAGAACACATACCTTCTTTAGCCAATCAAGTCTGGGGACTCTCTTCAAGGTAACACTGTCAACCACAAACTAAAACCCTGCAGAGGAGAGGTCAGGAAGCTGACTCCCAAATCTGCCTGCAGAGTTTCATCCGGAAACCTTAAATCAGTTTGAAAGCACTAGAACCTTCCGACCAAGAATTCAATGAAATTCAATGAGTCTGAGCCATGAAGGATGCTTGCTGAAGGCTAAGGGTGCACCATTTCACAACCTTTTGTAAACAAACCATTTTATTGGGGGCTCCATTTCACAATCTTGAGGAAGAAAAATTTTGGGACGGACTCAAGTAGAAATAACAAATACAAAGTAGCACTTACTGGTAAGAGACACCAAGGGCCTTCCTGCAACTCTTTATTTTTAAAAGTATGAGAATACATGCATCTATTACTTGCATAGTTAATTTTTCAACTAAGTTAGGGGAAAAAAAATTTCGGGGAAAAGTTATGTGAAGTAAGAATCGAAACAAGTCAGACAGAATGTTATCAGTTGGAGCCAATCAGGGTGCAGAGTAGCAGCGATGAACCATATAACTTTCCTCTAGTTCTTAAATGCTCCCCACCCACCAATATCATGGTCCCAATTATGCCCTGCAAATCTGGCTAGACCAGAGGATGTACACTGGTACAGATGGCAACTTGAAACACAGGGAATCCAGGACGGATGACTCCTTCAGGACCAGTGGTGAGAGGGGCGATGCCTGGAGGGTGGGGGGAAGTGAGGTGGGAAGAGGGTAACCAATTACAAAAATCTAGGTATGGCCTCCTTCCTGGGGGATGGACAGCAGAGAAGAGGGTGGAGGGAGACGTTGGACAGTGTAACTTATGACAAAACTATAATAATTTATGAATTATGAAGGGTTCATGGGGGCGGGGGGAAGGAGGGGGAAAATGAGCAAATGATATTAAGGGCTAAAGTGGAAGGCAGGTGTTTTGAGATTGATGAGGGCAACAAATGTACATATGTGCTTGACACAATGGATATATGTATGGACAGTAATGGGAATTGTACGAGCCCTCAATAAAATAATTTTTTTTAATGTTATCAGTTGTTAATTCTGGAACATCACATTGTTCTTTGAACTTTTCTGTATTTAAAAAAAATGTCTCACAACAAAGAACTTTAGTCATGTGAGTAAACTAAAGCAGACGAAAAATCGGAGAGTTCTGCTAGACACTATGTGAATCCCTAGAGAAGGAAAACCAAAAAGCTAGGTACGTATGCAGCATGAAGAAGCTGTTCTAAAATAAAACCACCGGAAATGAAACAGTAATGTTTCATGCTGGAGTAAGTTAGGTTTGAAGAAGAAACATCTTTTGAACTTTCTCTCTGTGTGTCCTTCTGGTACCACCTACCCAAGACGGTCTGTCTCCTCTCCGTTCCGTCACAGCACGGTCCTAGCAGGGCACTCAGCACTACCCAGAGCGCAGGGCTGGCTTGCCCTTTCTGATTCTGGCTTTCTTTCCTTCACACACCTTAGTTTTCCTTGTGATAAGTACGTTTTAGAATTACACTGTCTCTCATACAAACTTCATTCAGATGACGGCATGAGTTTACCACGTGATATCTTACTGAACATAAATAAATATGAGGGTTACCCCTCCAAAAACCCCGAAATTTCCCCCCCAAAAGCTATGTATTTACATTTGTTTGACAAACAACTTTATCACCTTCAAAGTACTCTCCAGGACACTTAATACATTTGTCAGATTTGCAACTCCATTCTTGGAAACATTTTTCAGACTCATCTGTTTGGATGGATGACAGCACCGCCCTTTTTTTTTTCCTTTACCTCTTCTACTTCATCAAATCACTGTCCTTCCTCATTCGCAGAAACAAAAAGAAGTCGCATGGGGCGAGGTTAGGTGAGTCAGGTATGTGGAGCAAGAGAGGCATGCTGGTTTGTTTGCTTTTTGCCAAAAACTGGCATACTGGGATGGCTATGTGAGCAGGTACATTGTCGTGGTGGCAAAAGCAGTTCCCCATCTGCCACAAATCAGGTCTTTTTTGTCACACACTGTTCCCCAATCTTTTTAGGACCTTAATTACAGTCTGACCTGGTGGAAGAAACTCCAAATGCACTAACCCCCTCAAACATCAAAATAACAAATGAGCACGGTCTTGATCTTTGATCTCACTTGATGAGCTTTTTGGGGTAAGGTGACGATGGCGTCTTCCACTGGCTTGCACTGATGTTTGGTTTTGGGGTTGTCAGAATAGCACCATGTCTTATCACCAGTAATGACCTGGAAAAAACCCTCTGGGTCACTTTGGAGCTGTTCTTTCAAAGCACAGCATGTTTCCAGAAGACGCCTTTTCCTGGTCAGTCAGACCCCGAGGCAGAAATTCCACAGTAACCCTTGTCATTCCCAAATCTTCCTCTAAAATTCTATGAACCGAGCACCAAGATACTCCAGATAGCATCTTCATCTCTTTAATAGTCCGTCACCAGTCTTCAAGTAAGTGCACAAATTTTGTTGCATTTTCATCCATTTGGCAAGTTGACAAACATTCAGAACTAGGTTGTCATCAATCAACATTCTACCTTTTTTGAAACAAGAAAGCCACTTGCACACTTGAGTTTTTCCCATAGCGTTGTCCTTATAAGCCCTGTTCAACATCACAACAATTTCTGCGGCATTTTTCCCAAGCTGGAAACAAAATTTCACAGCCACACGCTGTTTTTTAAATTGGTCATCACAAAAAGTGAGGTTTGAGTGAAGCTGCTTTTACGAAAAAATTCTCTGTGACCAGAGAGAACCTTCCCAATGGTGACGCCACTGGGTGTACCAACTCAGAGTGGGTTGCTTGATGCTCACCTAGTGGGAAAAATATGTACTACGAAAGCTCTGCCTAGCCGAGTTTTTCCAGGTTGTTG